TGATCACACATCTACATATCTCCATCAGTGTTAACATTTCAACTGTTTACATTTCATGTCTATAGACATCGATTGTAGAATGTAGAAACTGTGTTATGCGATAGTTTCTATAGCTCGCCAATCCAGAGACTGCGCAGCGCATCAAAGAAACAACGAACTTTTATAATTAAACAGCATAGCTTCGTAATTAAAACTTTCGTACATAGCTTCGTAATTAAAAACAGAACTTTCGTAATTAAATATGCGAATCGCACTGAATTGCTCTACAGCTGAACAGCTACAAAAGCTCGATTCGCACAGCTAAATCAGATTTCGTGAACTGTTTTATCTCGATTTAATATTCCCGATTCTCCTAAGCTTCCCTACCGCATTCTAAAAGACCAAGCGTAATTGTATAGTACATCTAAAAATTTCACGACTACATCGAGCAGAAAATGGCTGGATTCGTTACCGATTTTATTCCGTATCGAAGTTTAAGTTCGATAGAGTATTACGCTGTCGCCAACGTGTTGTGTTGATCGCGGCGAAATACTCTATCCAACTGGGAAAGATACGCGCGAAATCGATGCGCCGAATAGCATGACGCGCCGCACTGGACGAATGGACAGAATCAATAAGAATGCGGTTTGTTTGCAAGCCATCCCTGAACGGCCGGGAGAAACATACAAATCATTCCCCCGAAACAGATACGAGCGATTCTCCCTTCGCGCTCGCTCACCATTCCCTACCATCAGCACCTACCTCTGTCTCCTCTCACCCTCTCATTCTCCACCCTCGCAATCTGATGGCTAGCAGGACACGACAATTAGCACGAGCGACAGATACGCACCCCGCATACAGATATCCACGGTTTTATTTGGGACTTCTGGTTAGAAAGCGTACGCAAACGACCGCGCGAACACTGGGTGGTCCTACCATCGGTTACTGGCACGTCTACAACTTCCGTAGAAACTCATTTGAAGGTTGCCGGGTGTGTCGCGGAACTAATCCGACTCTTGAGTGATTTTGCAAACTATGGAAAGGGCTAATTAAGGGTTTAGCTACGTGCGGGGTGTGTTATTTGGACGGACTATTGCGTGGTCGAGGAGATTTCCGCTCTGGTTGCGGACTCTCGAAAACAAGTCGGTTACGTGAAAGACGAAACTTGTCCTTTACGATTCATTTTATACAAATTCGAGATTTTGAACACATTGGCGCGATATTTACTAAATGCTTATTACATTTCATTCTTAGTACACACGATTAAGCATTCAAGTTCAATGCATTTCTTTTCTTTAAAATAGTAGGAGTATCGAGTCATCAATTATAATATTTACGTGTACAACTTCTTTTTAATACATAATGGTATAAATATTTTTTAAATATGTTAAATTATACGTAAGAAATTATTAATAATATAATTTTTGTAAAAGTGATGAGTATTCCAGGGCACGAATAGCGACTCATCATGTATACTGAGGATTAAGGGGGGAAACCACAATAAAAGTTTGAAAAAAATCGAAAAAATGTTTTTTCGCTTATAAGGTGCTTTAGGGTCTTAAGAATAACATACCAAAAGATGGAGTGCCGCAAAAATTTCGGAATACCCAAATTTTCCATTCTGCGGCAACGCCTCTCAGGTATGCTCCGAGCGCCTTTTGTGATTCCGTAATTGATGAGTACGGGAGCAGGTATAATGGCAGTCGATGGAGAAGGAACTTCCCTCCGAAAAGTCTATAGTACTTTAGAATGCCTATAGGTATCACCATATGTAATATACATTCAAAGAACATGTGTGTAACGTTAGTAAACCGAATGTCAATTGTTGAAACGGACGCTTTTTCGCTTCGCTTCGCCTCGTGTATACGTTCCATAATATTCGAATAATAGTGATAATAAGCAGTAATTATTGAAAACTATGAGTAACCATCCCCAACACGACGATTGCCCGACTGGAGAAAATTCATGGTGCTCGTGGCAAAGGGCGAAATCTTCTAACACTTTGGCTACCTATACGCACAAATCACCAATGTCTGATATAGTTTATGAAGCAATTAAGCCAGTTTACGAACAACTCACTACGGATGATCTTCTCACTCGCTGCATCGGGGGTTTCACTCAAAACAGCAATGAGAGCTTCACTCGACAGTGTGGGCGATGGCTCCGAAAACTATGAATTCCGGCAAAATAATCATCGACATTGCTACGAACATCGCTTCGTGTGTTTTTAATGACGGATTAATATCAATTTTACATATAATCCAGGTCATGGGCATGAAAATTGGCCCAAAAAGTCACGAACTATACTTGGACTTGGACTAGAAACGCATACAGAAAGCGGAACGATCTTTGAGTGAGGGCGCAAAACAGGCCCGCATCGATCTGAAAACAATTCGAAAGACCAAACAAGAGCAGGAGATAGATGAAGAAGGCCAATTGTATGGCGCAGGCATCGCAGATTAGAGGTATATAAAAATATTATATGATTTTACTTAAAACTTTAAACGCGTTTTTCTCGAAACCACTTTTTTTAAACTGAGCGAACACATAACTCGAATAAATCTTTACCGATTGGTTTCAAATTTTGATAGTATATTCAGAATACCTTTCTCTATGGAAGTGCGTAGAGTTTTTTTTATATTACATAGTTTTTTTTTATCAACAATTTTATGGCGTTTTTTTTTTGTTAAATTTGCAAGTTTTCCCTAAAACGTACACCATTTTGCGAAAAATTAATATATCGAAAAAATCCTACGTACTTTCATAGCTATTGATATATAGAACCTAAAAAACTGTCATTTTTTGTTCCAGGTCAAAAATTAAGGACTCTAGATGTCCCTCCTTCAAAAATAGGCGCCATCGGACAAGTGCGGCACAGCCGCCATTTTGTACCAAAAATATATGAAAAAATTCTTATTTGTACTTCATTTATAATATTATAATGCTTATTTTACAAATTTTTGATTGATCATTTCATTGAGCAAAAAAAATTCCCGAAAATATACTTACTTTTTCGTGCTCTACTGTGGTTTCCTCCCTTAAACAAACATTATTTTAAATTAAACAATAGCACTAATTGGAAAAGAACTTTACTTAAACATACTGTTAGATACTGACGCGATCTACGCAAGTATGATCAGAAATAAACGTGTAGTCGGTCATTACGTACATCAAACGCAAAGAGCAACGTTTCTCTTTATTTCTGAGAGCTACGAGAAGGATACTCGTTGAGGAGCGAGTAATGATAATTATAAAGAGACAATTTTAATGAGTCCACTCGTTGCTTAACTATATCTCGCATGATGAAAGCGAAGCAGATATGATAGATAGATAATGAGATCGCTGTGTTTGATACTTCCGGTGATTCCGAGTCGTGTAGTTGTCGCAGGATCAAAGCCGATATCCTTTGCTTTAAAAAACGATTCATGCGTTGTCATGGAGCCACGCAACTTGAGACAATTACAGCATATCTGGTTGCTGTGTCAAAATATACGTGCACTTTTCGAGATCCGGTGCCAACTGCGTCGGTCATATTTGTCATGACAGTGACCACGTTTACACGGCTTAAATCCTTTAATAACATCTATAATTATAAAACTGACCAATCATGGCTACTCCTCTGAAGAATGAAATGGCTGTGATTGATTAGTTTCTAACTATGGATGTTATTAAATCCGATTAAAGGTGACCATGTAAACGTAGTCAGTGGCTGTTGTGAGCATGGCCTGATTACAAGCGACTTAATTAAGACTAGCGGAGCGTGTTTCAATTTGCACGTATGACGCTCGTTTCGCCACCACCGCGACGACGACAAACGCAGTTGTGCGAAAGGAGTTTTGTGGCGATGACGAGTGCAGTCGCTTCACGGCTGTTGCCTGAATGCGAAAAATATTAAATTTCTGCGAGTATCTCATTTTGATCTCCGCATTCTTCCTAGCTGGAGCTGAAGACAGATTGCAAACGAAATATATCTTTTTAGACACCGTGAATATGTGAAGAATGTCGCTACATCTTTAAAGTCTGTATCTATAATTATTAAGTAAATCTTACGAAAAGTGTAAAGGTGAGATAAATCAATAAAGATTCATAGACAGGAATTCATAGTCGATTCTTATATTTAAGATTAACTTAAGTATTTAAGATTTATAGTTTTATGATGGTATATATAAATTACAGAACTGTATTAGCATTTTAAGATATTGTTTAAAATGGTTTTAGAATAAGAACCAACAATGAATATTACATAGTCAGATAATTCAATAGTCACATTTTGATGATTAGAAATCAATCGAGTTATATGCAGTTAATTATAAAAAATAGCAACAATTATTTCTTCACGTAAAACTAAAATATTATGTAATTTTTGTAAAATGTTCCGTAATATTACATATGCAAAAAAGACTATTATTAGACTGTTATGCAAAAGTAAATTATTATTATTTCAATGGAAATAAAAAATAATAATTTACTTCCACACACCACACGGTTAGCTCTGCCACTATCTGATGCTTTTCAAACATTTCTGTCTCTCAAAAAGCTTCGTTACATTATACTCGTGTAATATAACACTCGCGAAAATACGATTAATTATAATCGCGTATTAATCACTAGAATAAGATAATTACAGGGCATTTTGCATGTCATTTATAACGTCACACGTAACGCGCATTTTATTATTATTGTACGTTGTGACGGAATCTGATTTAAATAATCCGACCGCAAAAATAACGCAAAGAAAAAATACGAAGCCCTATGATTTGCCAACGTCTGCGATTTTCACAAAATTGAACGAAATGTGGACCAGCCAGGAGGTTTTAATAACCGTGCTGAATCAATATTATGAGGTTGAAAAATATTAAAATAAAGATCTAATTACGATCGTATTTATTATAATAATTAAACACCATTTTCGATATCGTTAATACTGTGCGATATGGTATGATTATAAATAGTGTCAAAATATTTTCATCGTGCAAATTCAACGAGATATACGTATTATTAATTAACAATTAATGTATCATTTTCTATTGTTTAAATCACTCGATCCGCAGCAAACTTCCTGCTTCAATCTAAAAATGATAAGTAACGATTATATCACAGAAAAATTTATAGAAATTTCATTGCAAGATAATCTAATTGTTATAGAAATTATTGTCTGTATAAATATCGCGATAAAATAATAACTTACGATTTCCATCCGTTCGATTCTGTAAAAGAAATTCAATTGATTCGATTCTGTAAAATAAATAAATTGTGCAAACTATTTATATCTTCAAATAATCAACGAATTTGTAATTATTAATCGTGGAAAGTAATTAATTGCGCATGCTAAAAGTAATTAATTGTTAATAAATAATCGCGTTTGATGTTTTCTAGTACTTGATAAGCATTTCGATGAGATAATGCGAAGAGATACGGAATAGTACGCATTAACTGTCAACTTGAAATTCGTTGCGTGAATGAGAACAGTACGCAGTGGTTTGGCATACCAAAACAAATACCACAGAGCTGTACAAGTCAATATCATCGACATGAAATATTTTACAAATTGTGAAACAAATTTGTTAAATGTTCTTTTCTTTGTATTTTAAACCAGTTATCAATATACGATGTAATATCGTTTTTTCTCTTTATTCGTATATTTCATTATCAATTGTAAATTATATTTAAATCAAAAATTTAAAGTTCAATGCAATGGATGTATTCAAATCAAAACGTTGTTAAAAAAATTATTTTTTGAAAAAAATTATTTTTGAAAAAAAATGATTATTAAATATTAGTAAAAACATATTGTTATTACCTATAAATAAAGTAAAAAAATAATTAACAATTCCTATTTTTTGTCTTTCTAATTTCTACTAAATAAAATATTTTTTTGCAAAAAGCAATCGTCATCTTAATTCGTTTATGGAACTTTAATTACGCTAGTCACTTACTGTAATAAGCGTGAAGTATTATTACGATGTATATCTTCTAGCACTTGTCGCGACCATGTTTCAAAAGATAATGCACGACGATACACAGAACAGTTTGCGATACGCCTGCCAATTCGAGTTTCATTGAACGAATGAAAGTAGTAGCAGCACGATCTTGCTTATGCACAGCGCTAAGTACAACGGAGACACCGTAATAATAAACACTAAAGCGTATATAAAATGTCGGTAAATTATCATCTCAAAATAAGTATTCAATATTTAATAAAAATTAAATTGTGCTAAATATACTCTTTAAATTTTTTGGAGTAAAATTTTACAAAAAGATTAAAAAGTAAGCCAGTCTTGAAAAAAAATGGGAACATTTTCACTCTTTGAGAGGAGTGAGATTTCATTCTTTTTAATCAAAATTTTATTCTTTTGGAATAAAATCTAAAGAACAAAGTCTCCAATTTCAAAAAAAGAAGTAAGATTTTGTTCCTTTGGAATAAATCTCACTCCAAAAGAAATCTTACTTCAAAAGAATGAAAATCTGCTTTTGTTTAATCAAGAATGAAAGGTTTTAATTCGTTTTTTTTTCAAGATTGAGTTTTCATCACAAAAGATTTGGAGAGTATATTATGCTTTTTGTGCTTCAATAAATGAATTGCTAAGTTATATTTTACGTTTTGTTGTGTTTTGTGGATTAATTAGCTTTGTCTAGAATAAGGAAACAAAAAAATTCGATTGACAGAGCATTTCAGAATGGAAATGTTGTTACTTAATATAATATTTAAAATGTAATATAAGAACTAGATATTGTAATAAATAGAGCTATATAAATAGATCTATTAAATCTCGTTATCAAACAGATTCAAAAATACAAACATCAATATTTATATGAGTTCCATCAAAGAATCATATCTCTATCTGTAAACAGTTTAGCAACAGTTTTTGCAAACGATTCTTTACATCGTTTCTGTACCTTTTGTGATTAGTTACCAATAATCCTTACAAAACATTATAATGGCAGATCAAGTAGACGATATTCTAATCCCAGTTCGTCGTGGCAATTATATAATACAAAATTAACACGTAGTAATGAGGCAAAATGTAATCATTGTGCAGAAATCATTATATATAAGAAGAGATCCCTAGCTATTTTACATGAACATTTGGTGAAGAGACATCCAGACATATTATCAGAAGAAGAGAAGAAAGAAGATAAATTCGATTGGTCTTGGGATTATTTTATCGCAAAAAGCGATACAGAGGCAACATGCAAAAAATGTGACTTAACAATTAAGTACCGTACAATAACTCAACTCCAGAGGCATTTAGCATATTATCACAAATAGGTATATTCCAAATGAATTAAAAATTAATTACCCTAATAAAGAATGTTAATTTAACTAGTAAAATGATCAATGTCAGCTGAAGAAAATGTAACGCAAACAAATATACTCAAATAAAGCTAGAAAAATTTATTAAACAGATTTCTGATACATTTCAAATATGATTTGCACTTTTAAGCATTATAAAGGTACAATAAAAAAAAATTCAAAATTTATTTAAGTAACATATACACAAATCAGAAATTTTAATCAAATATTCAATATATGTGTAGTGATACTGCGCGCAATCAAAAGAATATGGAATACAAAACAAGAATTTTGATCTATTAGGAACTGTGTATTTCACAACACATTATTTCCGAAGATTAGAATTTCTATTTTCTTAATTCCTATTTCTTTGATAGCGCAATTCCTTATAAAACTAATCGGTATTCATTTATGTTAAACAGCCTTATTAAATAACAAACTGAATTAAATGTTTCAATTACTGTGTCATCAATTAAATTTACTATTACTGTGTTTAGTATAAAAAATTAGTGAAAAATAATTTGAAAAATTCCAATTTTTGCCGAATAATTATCAGATTTACAGAATATTTAAATCTGCTTGATCGCTACATTTTTGATCGCTATTAAATGTTAAAATAGTAGATTTAAAAAAAATTATAATTTAGTCCGTATAACGGAGGATAAATATAATTGAAAATAATAACTTTAACGTACTTTTTATTGCTTTTTTAATAACTTCTTATGTAAATATAGGATATTCAATCCAAATTCAAATCGTGTAGAGGGCAATAACGAGAGCAATTCACACGATGACATTATTGCAAATGAGGATATAACTAAAAAAACAGATTTTATTCCAGTTCGTCTTTGCATACGTAAACATTATACAAAAATACCAAAGAATAATGCTGCAAGATGCAACTATTGTAATGCAAGATTCACTGTACAAAATAGGTCTTTAGGTAATTTATATAAACACTTGGTGAATAGACATCCAGACATATTATCAGAAGAAGATAAGAAAGAAAATAAATTCGATTGGTGTTGGGATTATTTTATCGCAAAAAGCGATAGAGAGGCAACATGCAAAAAATGTGATTCAACAATTAAGTACCGTTCAGTATCTTGTCTCAAGAGTCATTTAAAACATATTCGCAAGTAGGTGTACTCCAAGTAAATTAAAAATTTATTTACGTACTGAAGAATGTAAAATTAATAATAGTAAAATGATCAATGTCAGCTAAAAAAAATATAACGCAAACAAGTATACTCAAATAAAGCTAGAAAAATTTATTAAACAGATTTCTGATACATGTCAAATATGATTTGCACTTTTAAGCATTATAAAGGTACAATAAAAAAAAATTCAAAATTTATTGAAGTATTAGGAGTTTGCATTAAAAGCCACTGTTGACGTTTAGATGGCAGTAACTGCGTATGTTATGGTCAGAGACATCTGCTACTTATATCATTTTTAAATGTGAACATTTCCTACTAAAATTCAGTCAACAGACGTCATCCTTGTTTACATATGTGCTTTTCTATAACTGAATTAAAATGGAACGTGATAAGTTGTTTTTCCGATGTGTACTTTTACACTATTTTGATTTGAAAAAAAGTGCAGCTGAAACTCATCGATTGCTTGCGGAAATTTATGGTGAATCTGCTCCATTGGAAACAGTATGTAGAGACTGGTTTTGACGATTCAAAAGTGGTGATTGTGACGTTCACGACAAACAACGAAAAAATTCGAAGATGAACAACTGCAAGCTCTATTGGAAGAAAATTCAGCTCAAACACTCGAAGAATTGTCTCAACAACTGAAAGTCGATAAATCAACTATTTTTCGACGTTTACAAGCTATGGGAAAGATTCAGAAAGAAGGAAAATGGCAGCCACATGAATTGACCGAAAATGCCATTGCCAACCGTTTAAACATCTCAATTTCTTTGCTTGCAAAGCATAACAAGAAGAGTTTCTTGTGGCGTATCGTGACCGGCGATGAAAAATGGATCTTTTTCAACAACCCAAAACGCAAAGAATCATGGGTTGATCCTGGCCAACCATCAATATCGACTCAAATGCGAAATATCCACGGTCACAAAGTAATGCTCTGTATTTGGTGGGATATGGAAGGTGTCGTGTATTATGAGCTGCTTAAAAGGAACGAAACAATCACCACCGAGCGTTATCAACAACAATTGGAATGTTTGAATGATAATTTGATGCAAAAACGATCATCAATTGCATCAAATCGTCGAAAGATGAAAGATTTTACTCCATGATAACGCTCGGCCACATGTTGCTATAGCCGTGAAACAAACACTGATAGATCTCGAATGGGAGGTTCTCCCGCACCCAGC